CGGGGTCCCACCTCTCCAGCCTGCCCAGGATCCCACAGACTGTTTCAACACACAGCTGCAAGCCGGCTGGGGAACGTGGGTTTCGTTTCTTGGTCTTGTACAACGTCATTTTGTGTCGTTATTACGGTTTTCTAACCTCCTGAACCCCACCAGCCGTTGCACTTCACCCCGCTCCCTCTGAACTCAGCCCAGTAAGGAGCTGGAGCCGGTGACTGGGAGCAGAGCCCACTTTCCCCAGTCGATGTGCTGAAGAAACCACAGCAATCGCAGCTTTGAAGATGCTCCGTCCAGCTCTGTCCCCTTTCATCAACTTCTGCATGTTTTAAACAGGCACCAGAGCCCCAGCACCAAAAGGACTGAACACCCTTCCATTAAAAGTTCAGCTGCCAGGGGACTGTGTCTGGATTTCAGGGGATTCATTCTCCTCCTGCACACGAGATCATGCTGCTGCCCCAAGGCAGAACCAGCCAAGGCTCTGGCAGACCCAAGAGGGTCCCAGCTGTCCTTAACGGTCCCCTGGGTATTTGTAGGAGGGATATCTGGCACCTCAGGGGGAAAAAAAGAAACAAATCTCAACCAACCACCATTTTTTATCCCTTGCGATTCTACAGAGACCACTGGATGGACCCCGTCTGTGAGGGCTCCTGCACTGCTCCAAACCTGTCATGCTCGGGACGCACTCAGCCGAGCGGATTGGCAGTTCTTGGCTTTGGGGTGCTGCGGGCTGCAGACAACAGCCTGCCCTGATCTGCTGAGCGAGGCAGAAATGGGTATTGCTGCTCCCAACAAACCCACTATCAGGAATTTCCGAGAGCAGTGCGCTAGGGAGAGACCCAGCTTCAGAGCTCCCAGGGACACAAGGATTTAAAGGGTGCAGGAAGGAGGGAGACAATCCTTTTGGTGCCAGGGAAGAGGAGCAGCGCTTCCAATCCGGTTCCCAGTGGGTGCCTGGCTAGCTGATTTCTTCCTGAGCCAGAAGAAGGGCTCTGGAAATGACAGAATTGGGTGGTGCAAGCCCTTCTGACACCCTGGGTGCACATGGAGGCTTCCCCGCCCCAGCCTGACCTTTCGGCTCCCTGCAGCAGATTAATTTCTGCACGAGGCCAGCGGGAAGACTTACGCTGTTGAAGATCTGAAGACCGTCATGTCCTCCCGAGACGTAAATGCGACCCTCGAAGACGGTGACTCCGGCAGCGCTGCGGTTGGAGCTCATGGGGGTCACCACCGTCCACCTGGCCAGGAGAGGGGAGAGGTTAGCGAGGGTCCTGCAGGCATGGCACACACCCAGCCCCCAGATTATCTCAACTGGGTCCCATTCTCTAGGACTGGGTTCTCATAACTCTCCTTTTCCTGCCTGTTTTATTTAAACCATGGTTTTGTTTGCTTGCATCCAGGTAAGCTCTTGCAAGGAGGGATTCTGCACCGCTGTCGGGATGTAAATGTTTTTCTGCATCATTCACTACGTTCCTTCTACAGCCTGGATTCCCAGCGGTGCCACAGCCCCAGCGGCAAATGGATGGATCAGCTTTTAGGGCATGCAAGAGCTCTTACTTGTTTGTTTCTGGAGAATACGACTCCACGGAGTTGAGGGATGAGTTTCCATCATATCCGCCGCAGACGTAGATCTGACCGTCCAGCACCACTGTCCCCATGGCACTGCAAGGAGCAGGACCCCGTGAGATGGCCGGAGGCGCTGCCAAACCCCACCAAACCTCCTCCTCCTGCTTCCCCTCCTGGCTGCCCAGCCGCTCCAACCCCACCCGAGCTCTGAGCCCCGCAAGTCGCGGCAGATGCTTGTGGGATAGCCACACCCTGTTTTCCTGATCAAAGGAATTAAACCAAAAGACATGGAGATATTTTGCCCTGGATGATGGGTCAAAATCCCAGTAATTCCAGCTTTCCACGAGGGACCTCCCTGCTGCTGCTGGTGGGAGATAACGCTGGCGAGGGGCGTCGCCGCACAGCCTCAGGAGATGCGCTAATTGCTGTCAAAGGTAAAGTTTGGCATGAAACCCTTAAAGCATCGTTAAACCGAGGTGCCTGACCCTGTTATCACACCTTGTAAATGCCATATTTGCCTCCCAAAGGGACTGCAGACAAGAGACTAGGATCCCACCTGGAAAATGGAGCCAAAGCTTCTCCTAAAATCTCATCAACGCAATCCTCAGCGATAAAACCCCAGCGCTACAGCCGGAGCTGAGCGGTTTGTACAATAACTGACATTTTCCTCCAAACCAGAGCATCCGATGCCTGTTCTGCTCGGCTTCAGGGCAGAACAACCCAATCGGGGAAGAGCAAGATGTGGGAAAACCTCCCAGGAACCTCATTGCTATGGAAAAACAACAAAAATAAAAGCTTTTCCACTACAAATTGGATGCCCCCGATTTTACGTAGTTGGCTGCTTGCAGTGTGCTCAACATCTCGGACCACAAAAAACCCAACCAGACAAACCACGATGGTAAAGAAATGCTGCAAAGCTCGGAGAAAAGCGAACAATTCAACAACTCTCAGTGACATGAGTGCAAAAAAAACCGCAGCAGGAACCCTGGACGCCAGGAAGATGTTTAAACACAGCAGCAGCTACCGTGCTGCGGTGGGGAGGACACGACGATGGCACAACTTCATAGGTGGGTTTCCAGAATAACGCGGGGTAAGCTCCCGAACCCACCCGCAGGGCGATCTCTGGGCTGGTGGGGACTGGGCAGCTCTGTTCATCGAGCACTAACACCCTCCACTCAGCTGGAAACTCCCCTCCCAGGACGATAAAAAAAATCCTCTCCTTCCCAGCTGGGATT